TTTCACGTTTAATTCAATATTTTACAGTTGTTGCCGTTTCTTTGTAAATATTTCAGAAATTTACTAGATTTTATTTTATTTTTTACTAGAAATCAGTGTTTCAACACCATTTTTATTCAGTGTGTGTTATAAATGAGTATTTATACATGAAAATATGTAGCTGTCTTTATGTTTTAGGAAAGAGGTCCATCACAAGGAAATTGTCATATTTGATGATCCTTGAAAAATTTAAAAAAAAACCCTGGGTTTCAACCTCAATCCTTAAATCTTAAACCTAACCCATGCATTTGATTGGTCGATGGGAATGTTGCTCCAGGACCAGCAGGAATAACCTTGGTGCTGCACTAAGGCAAAAGAAGGAGACTAAAATTCTGAAAGAGCCTCAGTGATGAGGTCTTCCCAACTCTTCCTTCATCATTTTCATATACTGCACTGATTTTATTCATGTCTCTGTGAAACCCACTCTCACTCTCATAGATGATCTTGTGATTTGCTTTAAAGCACGATGATGTTTTGAGTAACCTTTCAAACAGCGGCCCAGTCTTCATATCAGATTCCTCTCTCGGTCACAAGCTGCTCGTCCCAAAAACGTGCCTGCAGCCATTGCAGCTCACGCTGTGGGAGGGGAGCACACAAACCACTTACATGAAATGTGGTAAACGTTGCACACTGTATATCGAATAATCAATAACTGCTTCGTGCTTGTCATGTATATATCCTGTGTCTTGATGTGTCTTATAGGTTTACCTATGCAGCTAAACTAGATTATGTAGTAAATTATGTTTAGTAAACACTATAACCATTGAAATATTTGCAGAAAGCGCTTTTTTGGGGATTCAAATGCATTACTTGGACAGATGATGGTATCGTAAAAGGCTCAGCTGATGTTGCCAGCAAAATGGTTCTGCGCATTTCACGGGTGTTATTTACATCCTGTCCTCTGCCTTTGTTTTATGGGCATTACCTGCAAACACAGCAAGGTAATTGAACATGGGCAGATGACTAATTGAATTAGATAGGGAACTCAGCGGGGCTAGAGAAATAGAGGTTAATAACCTCCCTTGGCCATATGATACTTGCTGAAATCGACATGATTCTGTGAGCTGCTTTTGCTTGTTGTTTCTCTTAGAGATTTTTTTTCATGTTCGGCTTTTAATCTTATTTTTAATTTTTTTCATGTTTAGAAGGTTATTATGCCATTTAGTCTTTGCAGAAAGGGACAATTATTTGCAATGGGTCCTGTTATGGCCTGGTTTATCTAACTAAATATTGACTGATGATTGAGCCATACTCAGTGTTTACAGAAAGACTGTTCTCTGGTCAGCTAATCATCCTGCATTTTAGATAAGGTGTATTAGGATATGTGTCATCGTTCAAATTATAGTCAAAGTATTATGCCAAAACACTGTTAGAATGGAAAAAAGGCTTTGAAACACTGAATAAAAATAAGTACATAATTTTCAAAAGAGTCTTTATTTAATAATAAAAAAACAAATACTGTAAAAGAAAGTGCATGAGTGAAAACGGAATGCATAATTTCCGGACACTTGTTAATTGCATTTAAATGCAAATGTATTATAGTTCAAATTTATATGCAATTGGCTAAACTTTTTTGACCCACTTAAGTATTGACTTAAGTATATTTCATATGTAACTTCAACTTCTATTGTCTTTGAAATATGGTTAAAATGTACTGCCACATGTATTAAGATTTTCGGTAAACTTAAATATTCTTTAATGTCATTTTTATTGAAATTTGAATATAATGTTTTTAAATATATTTGTAATTACACATTTATCAGGATGAAGTTGTAATTTAGTGTATTTAAAGGGGTGGTTGACTGGTTTTGACTGGCTTGATTGTGTTTATGGGGTGCAGTCTAACATGCTTCGTTTAAAAATAAAAAAAGGCATTATTTTTCACATAGCTTACCTTTATTCTACACCGCTCTGTCCTTTCTCCGATGAACGCTCTGATGATTTCCTGTTTTTATGAAGCCCCTCCCTCAGAAATACGCATTGGGCTCAGATTGGTTAGCTGGCTCAGTGTGTTGTGATAAGCTAAACCACCAGTGCGTGTCTAAACGTCTCGCCTCAGAATGCCTCGCCTCCAGTTGTATTGTAAACAATGACGTCGTCAATATTGCTTATCAATTTGAGCCTGAATGAGACCCAGAGAATATTAGTGAAGATTGTGCAACATGGCCCCGCACACTTTGTTGAGTAAATGGTGAGTTTGTGGGAGCTAAAGCACATTGTCAAGTGTTGCCACAATAATGAATGTCCCAGCTTTTAGTGATTTGTTGTCTCCAGCCCATTGTCTAAATCTAGAGTGTCTCTGGGAATTTAATACGTTACCCTGTTTGCTCTCTTTGAGGTTAAAGGCCACTGGTTTCATCAACTCCAGAGGTTTTCCCCTCAAGGGAGCCAGATCCCTTTTGTTAGTGCTTGAGCTAACCATTTCTTGTCTTTGGTTTCCTCACAGAGCCGTATGGCGGAGAGCCTGCGTTTGTTCGATTCCATCTGCAACAACAACTGGTTCACCAATACCTCGCTCATCCTCTTCCTCAACAAGAAGGACCTGCTGGCTGAGAAGATCAAGCGTATCCCACTGACGGTCTGTTTCGCTGACTACAAGGGGCAAAACACCTACGAGGAGGTGGCCGTGTACGTGCAAAGGCAGTTTGAGGACCTCAACCGCAACAAGGAGACAAAGGAAATCTACTCGCACTTCACTTGCGCCACTGACACCAGCAACATCCAGTTTGTGTTTGACGCGGTGACGGACGTGATCATCCAAAACAATCTCAAGTACATTGGGCTGTGCTAGGACGAGGGGACGGGGGAGAGGGGTGGCGGGCGAGACATACGGAAAAAACCTTTGGCGAATGACGGGGACCGCCTGCCGATCGATCTGAGTGCCCTCAAAAACGCTTGTTGAAACAGGAAACTCAGATGAGGCCCAGAGGAAAGGGCTACATGCTGCCAACCTGCTAGATTTATCAATGTCAAAAGCGTAAAGGTCAAAGGGGATTTTACAAGGTTGGTATAAATGTGTTTGCACTGAACATATGAGTATGTAGACACACACACATACACCATCGTTACGTTTGGCACACACACAACACAAAATGTGGTAAACGCTGCACACTATGTAATCAATAATTGATAATTGTATACTTCTTATCGTGTTATGGGATATGTTGACTTGCAGACTTTGATGTGCCTTCTTTAAATGTGGTCTTATAGTCTTACCTATGCAGCTAAAGTAGATTATACAGTAAATTATGTTTAGTAAACACTGTAACCATTGAAATATTTGCAGAAAGCACATTTTCTGGGATTAAAATGCATTAATGGATGGATGATGGTATCGTAAAAGGCTCAGCTGATGTTGCCAGCAAAATGGTTCTGCGCATTTCACGGGTGTTATTTACATCCTGTCCTCTGCCTTTGTTTTATGGGCATTACCTGCAAACACAGCAAGGTAATTGAACATGGGCAGATGACTAATTGAATTAGATAGGGAACTCAGCGGGGCTAGAGAAATAGAGGTTAATAACCTCCCTTGGCCATATGATACTTGCTGAAATCGACATGATTCTGTGAGCTGCTTTTGCTTGTTGTTTCTCTTAGAGATTTTTTTTCATGTTCGGCTTTTAATCTTATTTTTAATTTTATTCATGTTTAGAAGGTTATTATGCCATTTAGTCTTTGCAGAAAGGGACAATTATTTGCAATGGGTCCTGTTATGGCCTGGTTTATCTAACTAAATATTGACTGATGATTGAGCCATACTCAGTGTTTACAGAAAGACTGTTCTCTGGTCAGCTAATCATCCTGCATTTTAGATAAGGTATATTAGGATATGTGTCATCGTTCAAATTATAGTCAAAGTATTATGCCAAAACACTGTTAGAATGGAAAAAAGGCTTTGAAAAACTGAATAAAAATAAGTACATAATTTTCAAAAGAGTCCTTATTTAATAATAAAAAAACAAATACTGTAAAAGAAAGTGCATGAGTGAAAACGGAATGCATCATTTCCGGACACTTAATTGCATGTTAATTGCATTTAAATGCAAATGTATTATAGTTCAAATTTATATGCAATTGGCTAAACTTTTTTGACCCACTTAAGTATTGACTTAATTATATTTCATATGTAACTTCAACTTCTATTGTCTTTGAAATATTGTTAAAATGTACTGCCACATGTATTAAGATTTTCGGTAAACTTAAATATTCTTTAATGTCATTTTTATTGAAATTTGAATATAATGTTTTTAAATATATTTGTAATTACACATTTATCAGGATGAAGTTGTAATTTAGTGTATTTAAAGGGGTGGTTGACTGGTTTTGACTGGCTTGATTGTGTTTATGGGGTGCAGTCTAACATGCTTCGTTTAAAAATAAAAAAAGGCATTATTTTTCACATAGCTTACCTTTATTCTACACCGCTCTGTCCTTTCTCCGATGAACGCTCTGATGATTTCCTGTTTTTATGAAGCCCCTCCCTCAGAAATACGCATTGGGCTCAGATTGGTTAGCTGGCTCAGTGTGTTGTGATAAGCTAAACCACCAGTGCGTGTCTAAACGTCTCGCCTCAGAATGCCTCGCCTCCAGTTGTATTGTAAACAATGACGTCGTCAATATTGCTTATCAATTTGAGCCTGAATGAGACCCAGAGAATATTAGTGAAGATTGTGCAACATGGCCCCGCACACTTTGTTGAGTAAATGGTGAGTTTGTGGGAGCTAAAGCACATTGTCAAGTGTTGCCACAATAATGAATGTCCCAGCTTTTAGTGATTTGTTGTCTCCAGCCCATTGTCTAAATCTAGAGTGTCTCTGGGAATTTAATACGTTACCCTGTTTGCTCTCTTTGAGGTTAAAGGCCACTGGTTTCATCAACTCCAGAGGTTTTCCCCTCAAGGGAGCCAGATCCCTTTTGTTAGTGCTTGAGCTAACCATTTCTTGTCTTTGGTTTCCTCACAGAGCCGTATGGCGGAGAGCCTGCGTTTGTTCGATTCCATCTGCAACAACAACTGGTTCACCAATACCTCGCTCATCCTCTTCCTCAACAAGAAGGACCTGCTGGCTGAGAAGATCAAGCGTATCCCACTGACGGTCTGTTTCGCTGACTACAAGGGGCAAAACACCTACGAGGAGGTGGCCGTGTACGTGCAAAGGCAGTTTGAGGACCTCAACCGCAACAAGGAGACAAAGGAAATCTACTCGCACTTCACTTGCGCCACTGACACCAGCAACATCCAGTTTGTGTTTGACGCGGTGACGGACGTGATCATCCAAAACAATCTCAAGTACATTGGGCTGTGCTAGGACGAGGGGACGGGGGAGAGGGGTGGCGGGCGAGACATACGGAAAAAACCTTTGGCGAATGACGGGGACCGCCTGCCGATCGATCTGAGTGCCCTCAAAAACGCTTGTTGAAACAGGAAACTCAGATGAGGCCCAGAGGAAAGGGCTACATGCTGCCAACCTGCTAGATTTATCAATGTCAAAAGCGTAAAGGTCAAAGGGGATTTTACAAGGTTGGTATAAATGTGTTTGCACTGAACATATGAGTATGTAGACACACACACATACACCATCGTTACGTTTGTTCACACACAACGGACTTCGGGATCAGCCGTCAAGCACATGTTTGACATGGAAACACCGGAAACAGATCTCCCCACTCTTCTCTTCCCTGACAAACAGCAGGAATTCCTTAACGTCCATGAAAGGGATAGTTCATCCGAAAATGTGCTCATTTGCTCATGTCATTCTAAACCTGTATGACTTTCTTTCTTCCGTGGAACATAAAAAGAGATGTTTAGCAGAATGCTCATGCTGCTCTTTTACATACAATGACAGTGAATGATGAAAATGACAAAAAACAGCAGAAAAGTAACTTAACATTTTACTTGTGTACTTATTATTAAGGAATATGTTTTAAAGCCATATGTGCATAATTCAAATTTGGTGCATCACAGCTGGTGAAGTTACACATATTACAGTTGAACCACAACGATGATTAAAACAATGATTTAAAATGTTGTTTAAATTAAAACTTTTAATTTGACATTATTACAAAGTGCACATTTTAAAAGTGTACTGAAGTTCAATTCAATTCAATTCAAGTTTATTTGTATAGCGCTTTTCACGATACAAATCGTTGCAAAGCAACTTTACAGCAACTGAGTTTTCTACAATATTTAGTAGTAGCTTATCAGTGTGTTATCAGTGTGAAGTGTGTTAGGAAATACATGCTTTGTCCAAATACCCACACTTGCGGTCTTGGCCACTTGAGAGTGCGTGCGCACGACAGGAAGTAAGTGCGCAAGACTGTCCCAGATCTTAAAAACGCCAGAGCGCAGTGCCCTTAACGCACACTAAACCCACACTCCGGAGCTGTATTCGAGGCTTAGTGTATCCCATCATGCATCATGTTCTGGAAATAAATCGTGAGACTTTTTGCAGAGATCTCGCAAGAGGTCACGGAAACCTTTCCAATGCATGTTAAATATTAATGATAAATAGATATTACATATAATTTGGTACTAAAACAAAGGGTTGCACGTTTTATTGGTGCAAATGAGTAGTGGTGATATTTATTTTGTACAACATTTGCAACTGCTTTTTCACTTAATTAGAAGCACCACAAAATTAAATTGTAATCATGTCTAGTATAAATTGTTATACTGTTCAGTGTCTCTATATCTGTTATAGAGACACTGAACAGACATTTAGAAGTTGATTTTAAAATGCAAAGTATTGAAAATAAAAATAAAGCTCTGTAAAATACGTCATATAAGTAGTCAAGTGGTCAAGTGGTCAAGTGCAAAGACCGCAAGTGTGGGTATTTGGACAAGGCAACAGTCATGAAAGTCTACCCTCTTTAAGTACACTTAAGTGGCCTTTTATTTTATTCATATTATATTATCTGCAAGTATAGTTTTTAAAAAAGATATACTTGTAAAATTTGAAGTGCACATTCATAACTTTTTAAAGGAAGAAAAGAATGAGTCTTTGGGTCTGGCCCAATAACCACACTCATGGTCTTGGCCACTGGAAAGAGTGTGCGCACTGTGCATGTCACAGGAAGTAAGTGTGCAAGACTGTCCCAGCTCAGAAAAATGCCCTTGATGCACACTAAATCCACATTGTCTCTAATATCACTTCAGAGCAGTATTCGAGGTGTAGCCCATCATTCATCATGTTCAGGAACTTGCAAAGGGGTGGAAAATTTCCAGAAATTTTGAAAACTTTAGGAAATTTTTGTAAAGTTTCCGGAAAATTGACTGAAATTTTCCACCCCTTTGCAACCCTATCATTAATTCACAAAATTTACAAAAAAAAAAAAAAAAAACTCAGAAATGTTGAGAAAAGAAAAACTTTCGTGTACAAGTTCAGTGAATTAGATATTACAAATAATTTGGTAGAAAAATGGCTTTTTATCACTTCATTTGCAGTACCACAATGTAAAATTGTGTTGTCTGTTATATATGAACTACCGAACAGACATTTAGAAGTTTATTTTAAATGTGCAAAATATTGAAAATGAAAATGTGTAACTAAAGATCGAAGAGTTACTTGTATTTTAACAACAGTTTTTATTTAAATGGAATGGTTTCTAGTTGGTTTCTTATTGGCAAAAGAGTCCAACCCAATGTCTCTGTGAGATTCTTGTCCCTCAGATTCCTCTATTCGTACAAATTAACTCAATATTATTAAGTCTTAAATATTATATTAAGTCTTAAAACTATATGCACAATTTGTGCATTGCAATTGGTCAACACAAGTCAAATCTGTCATGGCACATCTTGAACATGAATGAGATTTGAGAGATTATCAGTGAATAACGGCTTAAATTTGAGTGTTTTTCTCACGCAAATCTATTGCATGATTTCATAAAGTTTGGAATATAGATTATATGGACTGCTACTATAGTACTTTTTGCCATTTCTGGTACTTAACAGCCCGTGGTCGCCATGCACTCATGTCATTGAGTGGAAAAGAGCAACATTAACATTCTGCTAAACATCTCTTTTTGCATTCCACAGAAGAAATAAAGTCATACAGCTTTAAACTGACATGAGGGTGAGTAGATGATAAAATTGTAATCTAGGTGAACTGTTCCTTTAAGTTTTGTCTTTCTTTATAGGGTCTTTGATTTGCCTGATTTAAGTAATGCTGCTTTCGGAGATGATATAAAGAGTTTATATGAAAATATAATTGTATGTGATAGGTTAAAAGTATCCCGAGAGAAAGAAAAACAACAAAAAAACATTGTCATTTGGTTTTGCTCCAAAGGTGAAAACTGCCGCTGTCTGAATATGGAGTCAAATGGCTTTTTACTCACATTCACACTGTAGTTTATTTTTGGCTGTCTGACCCCTAGGAATCAATCTATTTTCTTGTTTCTTTTTATTCTGTTTTCCATTTGCCTAAAATAGGATGTAATCCAGAGTTTTTAGAGCAAGCATCCTTCTTTCCATGAGAGTGTTACACTGACGTGAACATTAAGTGTTTCATAACATTCATTCCCGATTCAGAGAAAAATAAACAGTGCCAATATCAATGTAAATAAAAAAGGCCCGTCAATCATGTCACTTTTTCGGTTTTTATGGACAAAAAAGTATATATATATTGTAACATTAAATATGCATGAATTTGTTACTTTGGGTTTTTGATAAATTATAGTTTGATTTGCTTTCTTATATTTTTAGTTTTACTAACATGCTCCAAAAATATATCAAAGTCAAACACTGTGTACGATTGTACAGTTGTTTCCTGCGAGGTATTTATTGAAAAGAGTTTTATGTGCAGAAAGAATCCTTTTACATCCAGCGCAACTTAAACTGAGCACGAAAACATTAAAAGAGGATTTACTCCTCAAATTTTGACTGAATCGGAAAAAGAGAGAAAATAACATCTAAAAGAGCAGAATCTTTCTATTCTGGTGTCATTTTGAGTGGACGTTGTCCACTGTATGTGTAAATACTATGTGAGGTACACTTTGTGAGACAATGAAAAAAAAAAACTAAATCACTTTTTAAGATGTAAGGCTGATTGACAGATTAAAGGGGTCCATTCCGCTCCAGTCCTCTTTCTGTTCAGTTATGACGATGTACAACAAACCCAATTAAGGGCTTCAGGATTGATTTTACAGGATGTCCACCGAAAAAAAAAGAAACAAAGTATAAAAGAACAATAGTAGTGAATAAAAAGAATTATGCAAATGTTGTTTGTGCTGCATGTTTGTTTCTTGTGTCGGGGTGAGTGAGGCTTCAGTAACTCTTCGTAAACTTAGTTACCCATAATTGCTTGACACTTTTTCCACATATAATAATAATATTCTATATTTATTCAAACGTTTATATAGGCATTAACAACCACAAAATTGTCACCCAAAAATCTAATTTAAAGAAGCGTAAGCTTATTTTTAGGATCATTAAAGGAATAGTTCATCCCCAAAAACTAACTTACCCTCAGGCCATCCAAGGTGTAGATGAGTTTGTTCCTTCATTGGAAACCAATGGATCCTCTGTGGTGAATGGGTACCACCAGAATGAGAGATCAAACAGCTGATGAAAACATCACAGTAATCATTTGTTTTCACAAAAATCCTAAACGTTTTTAACCATTGCTTCTGGCTAAAATACGAGTCATATATCCATAATATTGCTTTCTCCAGAGAAGAAGTCAACTAATCAGGAGAGAAACGTGCACAGATCAAGCACCATTTACAAGTGAAAACAGTCCAAAACAGTTGTAAAAGATTATGTCTATGTATTTTAATGTGAGAGGAAAACAGGGGATGAACTTTTTTACTGGAGGAAGCATTATTATGGATTATGGACAGAAGTGATGGCTTAAAGTAAAAAAAAAGCGTCAATGACGGATTTGTTTCTTTCAAACACACAGCTTTTAGCTTTACATTATTGTGTTGTTTTTATCAGATGTTTGGACTCTCATTCTGACGGCACCCACTGCAGAGGATCCATTGCTGAGCAAGTGATGTAACGCATTTATCCAACTCTGTTCTGATGAAGAAACAAACTCATCTAAGTTTTTAGCAAATTTTCATTTTTGAGCTAACTATTTGTCTAAGACTTTTTGCACTGTGACATTTTCATAACAATTAAAACACATCTGTGACCCTGGACGACAAAACCAGTCTTAAGTAGCACGGGTATATTTGTAGCAATAGGCAACAATACATTGTATGGGTCAAAATGATTGACTTTTCTTTTATGCCAAAAATCATTAGGATATTAAGTAAAGATCATGTTCCATGAAGATATTTTGTAAATTTCCTACTGTAAGCATATCAAAACTTAATTTTTGATTAGTAATATGTGTTGCTGAGGACTTCATTTGGACAACTTTAAAGGCGATTTTCTCAATATTTAGATTTTTTTTGCACCCTCAGATTCCAGATTTTCAAATAGTTGCATCTCAATTTTTAAAAAAAAAAGACCCTTATGACTGTTTTGTGGTCCAGGGTCACATTTCACATTTTTCACAACTTCTATACACATTACAGTGATGGGACCTGGGGAAAAAGTTTAATTGTTATGAAAATAATGCAAAAGCTTTAATGGCCCTAAAAACGGGCTTCACTTACTTAATACTGTTATAACATGGCATAGATACAGTCTGCACTTGAAAATATATTCTCTGATATTATTTGCTTCCAGGATTGACCACTAATGCAAGACAACATAAATATGGTCACCGATACACATTCCAATATATGGATGTTTTCACAGCATCAACCACATTATCAGCCACATTAA